ATATATAACACAGCAAAATTCAAATTTTGTGCTAAAATGTACAATTTGTTGGAACCAAGCTGGAAAAATAAGGTTTTCATTTCTAAATATGTCAGTTTTGGTCCTGCCCAGAAAGTGATTTCACTGCGTAAAAATGCACAAACTTTAGGTTATTTTTAACATGTTAAAAAAAGTTTAAGAACAAGGCTGGATCAGGTTTAAAAACACTTAGTAGAATAACCCATATTAATTAGATCAATTGTTTCCAAACTTTTCAGCTTTTACCCCACAAAATAACTGCAATAGAGACCTGTTTCCCCATTTTTTGATGATAAAAAAATCGATATTAGTCAAATAAGCATTGGCAAAGTAACCGTATTCATTATTCTTTTTTTATTCATTTCATAACAGTTGAGATAAGCTGATTTTCATGCCAGTTTTAGATTATTTTATGATAAGAAAGGACAGAGTTAAAGATGTTTTGATAGATCAAGTGGACATGATCAGTGTCAGTATTTTGTGAAGCACTGTGGTCTGATATATTTGTGTCTACTTCCATTCAGTCTAAACTGTGTTTATATCTACCTATGTTTCAACATTCCAACATCTGTCAACATTGTATGTTGAGGATATTTTGGCTACCACAACATTAATGTAAAAATAATTTAGACAATTTGTTCAAGGATTTGAAAAAAAACAAAAAACATCTAAATTAGGCATTTTGGTACTTTCGTTTTATCCTTGGGCCCTAATTAGAGCAGACTAAATTCACTAAACCATTGTGAGTTCATAATGAATAATGCTTATTTTAAAGTACTGCAAAGCAATGTTGTTATACTGTTTCATATATCTGTAAGAAATTACAGCAAAATGAGTGAGGAAACGGTCCAAGGTCAACTGTAATACTGTACATGAGAACGAAAGAATAYGAAAAAATGAAAAGGCTTCTGCTTCAAAAGTATGCTATAAAAGAAATGTTAATGGAGAGTTTCTAATAATTATATCAGCTTTCCCCTTCTGTCCCTCGCACAACGTAAAGCACCACAGAGAGACAATAGAGCAGGATTAGAGGTCTGGAGAGAAATACAGAGAAAAGAGGAAAAACAAGCTGGTCTCTGTTGAGAGATCTAAAGAGGCTATTGAACCAGGCTCGAAGCATTATTTGGCAAATATGTATTGACTGGTAGTCCGATTTGAATGGCGTGCCATAAATATCAATTGACCATGCTCCAAGAYAGCCTCCAGCAGGCAGCTGAATGAACGATGATGCTGGGTTTTTTACGCTGTATTAAGGAGGATTTTTCACATTGAAAGATTGTCGCCTGACATCATGAATTGCAAGGCTATAAACAAAAACTCTAAGTGAGCAAAAACCTTTCTTGCCTTGCTATTATGCCTTGCTGATGTAATGTTAAAAACTGGGACTGCATTTTCTTTACAAACGTCTCTGTTAAGACACCAGACGTGCAGCTAGCTTGTACTTGTGAATACCAAATGGTTGTACCACACAAACACCAGCGCGATCACACTTCTGAAGCACCATCGTGGTCGGCGTGAAGTTAAACGGTCATCTGTCGGACTCATTTCAACGTCTTTCACTGTGTTACATTCCCCTGCACAATAAAGGACAGCATCATTTTGCATTCTGCATGAAACTGAAAACAATTAAAAGSCTCATTGACTCGCAGTTCATTAGAATAAGCACTCGATATGAATGCAATATGTGGCTACTGGTACAGCGATCTGTTTTCCCTCTACAGGGGAAATTTAGTGAAACAAAATGTGGCACGCCGTTAGAGCTAAATTTGTTTACCTAAATTGTGTTTCTGCAGTACAGAGACTGCTGTGCGTGGATGCTGGCAACACAAAGAACATCAAGCTTTTAGAACTAACAGGCAAGGGTAAAGGAGGGGAATGTTGGCTGACAAGCAGTGCAGAGCAGACAGAAAACACTTCATCCTTCAGTTTTGACACCGTGCTACTGGCATGAGGTCAGCGGTTGGTCTCAAGTGGCCAGTAGTGGAACGTCACTGGTCTGTCACAGAAAAAAGATTTTCAAAGCGAGTTAGCTTTCCCCTCTGTGTAGAAAAACCTAAAACTGAAATGTGTGAGATTGTTGATGCTTGAAATCTATCTTTTGAATCTGGATTACTAAAACCCTTAAAACCCCTTAAACCTAGTGTGCAATATGTGGTTTATATACTGAGGCATACTAGACTTTACTCAGAGGCAGTTTTCCAGCTAAATCAGAGATGCTGCTTTATGAGTAAAGCCCATGCTGTTGCACTTGTTAAGTTTTGTGTGTTATGCAATTCATGTGAAAGAAAGCTGTCAAGACTAAATGAAGGCACTGTGGGATGAGATTGAAATGAGAGAAAAAAGGAAAWGAAAATGTTTTACAAGGAGAACCACAATCAAGATCCCACAATATCCCCCTGAAAACACAAACTTTATCGAAGAGCRCTCAYCAGTGTTCACCGAGTTAGGTCTGTAAATATAAAATAATAATAATAACAATAATAATAATAATAATAATAATGTTCCAATTCTCACATTTCTGATTATAAATCTGTCACATTTATATTGCTTTGTGACACAGAAAAAATTATGAGTGTGTACTGTCCTTTAAAACAAAAAAAATAACATGAAATGTAGAGTACCACATACACAAAACATATTCAAAGTTAGTACACTTGCCTAATACTCTTCCTCTTATCCCAGTTTAATTTAAAAACACGGCTCTGATCAGCCTGCTCCACACATCCTGTGACCACCGTCTTCCGCCACTAGTTTTAGAAGCACAGATGTGCAGCCAGCTGTTGTCTATTGGTCCACTTGCGCTCAGAGAGGGTAATCATAATAATCTTTGTTCATGTTCTAACGTTGAGCTCTGCTAGTRTAATAACTTTGATTACTCACTCTTGTTTTTTGGAGGGAATAATCTGGAGCTTCCTGAAACAATTTGAAATGTATCACGCATCAATAGGCTCATTATTCATTTGTTATGCATGATGGGAGAAAATATCTGGCATTACAAACAGATTTGCATTTGTAGCTTGGGCATCAGATGGGAACCAAATTCACCACAAAATTCACCTGCATTTCATTAATTATTATATTTTAATTAGAATGACTTGGTTTTTTTTACTGGTGACCATTTCAGGTCTAGTTTATTTTACCTC